TATACATAATCCCACAGAAAAAAAATAGTCACAAAATGACAAATTATATTATACATAAACATCATATTCAAAAGACTACAGATAATTTTATTGATTTATATATATATTTTTTTATATTAACTTTTTAATATTTGACAATCATATTAGATATTAACTAATTCAAAATCGAAGTACGCCAGGTTCATTATTGATTTATATAATCTAGAGCCACTTGCTCGTTTCATAAGCTTCTGCTATTTGACAAGTCATCATTATTATTATTTACAATCAAAATATTTTTATTCATTCAAAAAATTCAAATTTCTTATTGTTAGTTTCAAATTTACACCGAAACACCAAAACTTGTTACTGGTAATAATGAAAGGATTTGAAGGGCTACGTAAAAATATTATTTTATAATTTATTGTGCAAGAATTGTTAAATAATTAATTATTAATAAAAAAATATATTCTTAACAAAAGATTTTCTCTAACAAAGATTAAATAAAATATAATATGCACAAAATAAATTGTACTTTATTTTTATGTAAACAACATGCTACAATATTTATTTATGCAAAAAAAATGTAAATACAACAAAATAATAAAAAAATATTATATAATTTGAACTATCTCAACGACATAATTTTAATTATTATATAAAGATAAATTTTTTAATATTAAATTTTTTTTCAATAATTTTTATTTTATAAATAAATAGAATTAAAATGATAAAATGTGAAATTCTTTAAAATTCTAATTGGGACAAGCGATTGCAGAAGCGATTACGCGAAATGGGAGGGTCACAAGTGTCGACGGATGACTGGATCTGAGCAGGTACACATTACACAGTTTATTTTCAAATTTTTTTGTGGAATATTTTCAATTCTAAAGAGCCGTTAAAATATTTTTAGAAAATCAACTTTGTTATAATTGTTACCCGAATCATAGAATTTAAACAGATGGCCGCTCCTTAATCCGCTACTGAAAGTACTGTAACGCCCTCGGCCGCTAATTCGTGGTCCAGGCTCTCGAGGATCTATGTCCCTTCTTCATAGACAACTTTACCCTCCACTGACAACCACCAAATTAGTTTTGGAGACCACAGAAATTAGAACTTTGAAAGTTAATGAGACTTGAAAATTGTCTTTCAAGATAAAATCATTATTGTTAGTTGATAAAAAAATGAAATTGGAAGTTAAAAACTCTATGAGATTTGAGTATAATTATAAAAGGTTTTTTTTTTTATAATTATATTTGTTTATTTTGTACTTTTATAATAAGAAATAATTATTAAACAATAAAATTTTTTCTTAGAAATTTTAAAATTTTGAATTGAAAAGGAGAAGTTTTGATTTTTAATTAAAAATAGACTATCAATGGCTTATTAGTCTGAGTGAAAGGAAGTTGGTTCTCTTAAATAAAATATCAAATTTAAGTATTATGAATGAAAAAATAGACATTAGGAAAACTTCTCTCTTTAATCTCAAATTTGAGTATTAAGGGAGTTTGGTTCCCTTAATAATTATCGCTTATCCTATACCCTTATATAGATAAAAAAAAAAAAAAAAAAGAGTTAAGTTTTAATGTACTCTTTATAGATAACTAACTTTCATTTTCTTATTTTTAAGTGTGCCTTGAGAAGATAATGATTTGTCCATTCATTTAATCCTATCATTCTTCATGTAAAAAAATGTCACATTTATATCTTAAGATTGGTGGAGAGAGATTTAAAAAATAAGAAGATTATTTTTTATGGCATATTTTAAAATGTAGGAAAAATGAAGAAGTAATAATATTTTTAAAACCAATAACCTGTTAATTTAAGTGAAATGATCTCAATTTTTTTAAAATAAAATCTCAAATTTTAATATTATGAATAAGGAAAGAGGTGATAAGAAAGTTTCCCCTCTTTTGAAACATGATGTAATTTAAATTTGAATGAATTAGAGTTTAATGTGACTACTAAATATTAAAAAATTAATAAAAAAATATCTTTAAAAGTTGAGAGCATTAAAGAAAAGGAAGCAAACTTTGATGGTGAGTAATTTAAGTTATTGTAACAAACTATATAATGACATTAATAATAGGTCACCAACATTGACACTTTCTGTTCACATAGGATATACTAAAATAGTCAACATCATACCTGTAACCCAGTTTCTTTTTTTTTTTTTTTTTTTTAACAAATGGCAATTATTTACAAGTATTAATAGGGGGATGGGAAAGGGTTTCCTTGGGGTTTAAATGTACAACTCACAAGAGATGAACGATTCTAATCCAAAATCCATGCCACTGGGTTAGAGCAGACCGTTTCTGTAACCTAATTTCATTTCAGCAAAAAATCAAAAATTTTATTAAATTACTTAATTGATATATAAACGAAGGCTTATTATTTTTTTAAAGTTTTTTATAAAACTTAAAATTTAAATTTAAAATGTAAAAATTTGTATCTATATATCTAGACATATTAAAATGAAGAAATTATTTAAATTACTTAATTGATATATAAATGAAGGCTTATTATTTTTTTAAAGTTTTTTTTATAAAACTTAAAATTTAAATTTAAAATGTAAAAATTTGTATCTATATATCTAGACATATTAAAATGAAGAAATTATTCCTAATAAAGGAATAATTCATGAACATTGTTAAAGTTTTAAGGTGTTTTAAATTCAAATTTTTTAGTACCAAATATCAAAATAATGAAAAGAAATGTTTATATTGGTAAAATGCCATGGTAATTTTAAATGCTTAATTTTATAGTCCTTATAATAATTCTTAATTTTACATTGTTAATTTTAAATGCTCAGTAATTGATAAAAAAATTTTAAAAGCCCTTTTTTTAGTAACTTGAATTAAAAATATAAAAATTAAAATGTCCTAACACTCAAAACATCTATTATAATCATCCATAAGTAAACTTTATTCTAAAACTGATTCAACAAATAATTGTGATATACCTTTGAATATCATGATATACTGATTCTCTAGGCTCTCAACTTGAATTATCTCACAAAACAAACACGTGGTGGACAACATGGTAATTTTATTGGTGGGATCGATCAGTGGATCAAGCCCATTTTAGTCATTTAAATCTCATCAAAGAGTCCTTCGTGTTTGTCGTCAAAATCACCGAACTAAAACTAAAAATTGGTCTGAAACTCATTCTTTCTCTCTCTACTGTGTAGTATCTTTTAGATAGAGAGTGTAGAGAGAGAAAGCAAACTCCCTTAGAAAAAGGAAAGCAAAGATTGCATTTTGAGGAATGAGTAAAGCGTAAACCATCTTCTCATTCTTAGGGTTTTCTTTAAACTCAAAAAAAATAAACACCCAATGAAAAAAGCTGCTATCCTCTGTTCCAATAGAGTAATCTGTCTCTGTGCAAGAAAAAGAAGAAACCCAAATGCAGGAACTCGTTTGATTTGAGACCCAGAATCTGGGGATCCGATTCAGCAATCTGAGATCTCACTTTTGTTTCTCCTCTCCGGTACTTTCTGTTCTCGACGATCCAACTCACATTTGCTTCGAATGTTTGTGTATATTGGGGACTATATATTTCTGGCATGCAGTCTGTTTTGCATTTGACTTGGTGTAAATGGGTTTTTCTGGGTCTGGCATTTGAATTTAGTAATTGTGGGTTTTAGGTGCAAATGGTTTAACATTTTGAATTCGTTTTTTGGGGAATCAGATCTGGGGTGAATCTAATTTACAGTTGTGAGCTGGGGGGTCACCGTTTTTTTTGCCAAAGTTTAATTTCAGGTGCAATTTTGTTTTCGAGTTGGTTTGTTGGATTGAGATCCACTCTTTATTTTTGTTAAGTCTTTTGCGTCTAAAACTGGTAGCTTTTATTTATTGTCATATCTAACTACTACTTTCAAATGTGAGTTGTGAAGTGTTGCTTCTTGTTAATTTGCGTTATGTAAGAATTCAGCCTTTGAAAAGTTCCAAATTTATCTGTTAAGGTACTTTGATACACTCTCTTTTGGTTAATTTATTTTTTTTGTTGGGTTTCTCCATCTTGCAGTAATTCTAATTCATAATTTTTTTTTTTCTTTGTTTGCTAAAAATTTTCATTTTGACTTTGGGGTTATTTGATTCAAGTTGTGCTGATTATTGTTGGATTAGACAAAGATTTGAGGATCTGTGGGTTTTTGTAACAAGAAGCATATTTAGTTATGTGAAGGATTTGAAGGTGATAATTTTGTACATTTACTAGAGAGAAAATGAAGTCCGATGCACCTCTTGATTATGCTGCTTTCCAACTATCACCAAAGCGCTCACGGTAAAGCTATCGTTTAATGGGCCTTCTCTTGTTCATTGTTTCCCTGGTGATTAATAGTTTTGTCCTTCCCTTTTCATGTTGGGCAGCTGTGAGTTGTTTGTTTCAAGCAATGGAAATACAGAAAAGCTTGCTTCTGGATTGGTAAAGCCGTTTGTTAGTCATTTAAGAGTTGCAGAGGAACAGGTTGCTCTTGCAGTCCAATCTATTAAGCTTGAAGTGGAAAAGCATAAAAATGCTGAGACTTGGTTCACCAAAGGAACACTTGAGAGGTTTGCATACTTAGAAGTGTGGAGGTTTTTGCCCTTTCATGTAGTGATGACTTAGGTTCATATTTTGACATGATTGGCACTTCTTGTTTCCAGGTTTGTGCGTTTTGTTAGTACACCAGAGGTTATGGAGTTGGTCAATACACTTGATGTAGAGATGTCTCAGTTGGAAGGAGCTCGGAAAATATACTCTCAGGTTATACCTCAGACCCTAGTCCCTGCCCTTTCGTATATGGTGGATCTTTTATCTGTTACTTTGATGAACATTATAGTTTCACTAAATATGTAAACTGTTTTATTGCAGGGGATGGGAGATCAGTATTCTGGTGTAATAGGTATGTTATGGAATCCTTTTTCTTCTGTTTAAATTGTTTAAATTGTTTTTAACTTCTGCCTATATAGGAACAAGTTTGTTGGGATTTATGACTCCCTTGTTTGCTATGAATTTGGAATTGGGTTAATGGATTCTTAAGACATTCTGATTGGGTCTAGCCTTGATGAAGCAAGTGTAGCATGTTTAGAATATAATACTGTGACAACCAACTTCTAGTTTATAGCACTGGTGTCGGCTGATGCTTCTCTTGTTATTATTGCTGCAATTTATAATGAGTTGTTGTATTCCTTATTTAGGATTGCTCTGCCAGGTTGATTGAAGTATTAGCTTAATGTTAAGAGTGGAAAAATACGACTGTCTATGGGCTGCATTAATTTTTATGGCATAGGAAACATCCACATTCATATGTAGAGGTGTGTAAATTAATGCCTTTTTTTTTTTTTTGGGTAATCAATCATTTGCTTTTGATTCCACAATAAATGTTAAATTTGAATGGCTTAGAAATCCCTTAAAGAATAAACAGTTTGGTAGATTACTAAGTAATGATCAAAATAAAGCTGTCGTGACTTGGTGCCTATGATTTTCTGGAAGCATTGCATTTCTGGAAAGGTGTGTCCAATTTGTTAATGATTTAAATGTAAAACTAAAACCAAAAAAAAAAAAAAGGGAGAGGTTATCCAAGCACTTTAGGTACACCTTAGGAGAGTCCAAGAGTCCTCTGTTATGTGAGTGAATTAGCATTTCCACCTTATGTACGCCTTTGATCGTTCTCTTTGAGCTTTAGTGGCTTTTTGGATTCTATTTTCAGTGAATCTCAAGCTTACAATCTCAAATTCTCATTTAACTAATATTTTCCCTTCCATAGGGTTCAGTATGTGTTGTACATAATATGATCTGTTCATGTATAATGTGTTCGACGCAACAAGGGCCTTGGTTACCAGACAATCAGAAAATTATCAGTTGCCTTTTATTTAATCTTTTGGTTTATTTGGTCTGAGAACTTGATAACTGGCTTAGCTAATCAAATTCTCCCTAAAATCAAATTTGGAGGGAAAACATTTTTTCCAGGTTTCTTTTGTTGGCTATTATCTCTGCTTTATGGTTGTGTAGAATTTCTTTAGATATTCTAAAATTAGATTAATTTGCTAAACCTAGTTCTTGAATTTGGTATGAGTCTTTGCTGAATGCTGACAAAGTATTTGGTTATTTGGATTAGGTGCAGGTGGCACTGGATTGACAGCAACAGCTGATGCTACAAAGTAAAAGATTTATTTCTTTAGCTTTTACATATATATGATGCAATAATTTATTTGATTGAATTGTGGTTAATCAACCTGCTGAGAAGTTTATGATTGCTTGTCTTGTTGGCGATTGTGACTCTGTTTATAGCAATACTTATATGTTGAAGTTGCTAATTTGATTTTCAATTGAATTTTAAAGCTTTTAAATGCCTGTTAGTCTTCTCCATGATTGTTGGCCATCGTAAGGATTGTTGTTGAAGTAAATGAAAAAAAAAGTACTCATTGACATATTGCAACGTGGCTCAGAAAGGCTAGCGTGCAAGATGTATTTTGTAGTATAATTAGGTAGTTAATAATTGTCCAACTATAATTCTTTTAATTGTGAAGAAATTATTTAAATTGTGAAATTCTACTTGTGAGGTTGAGAGCTTCTTGTGGAGAAGCCTTGTGTAGACATTGTTTCATATTAGCATGTAGAGGAGGTGGTGCTTAATGATTATTGCTAGTCAACTGCACTTGCTCACCATTATGATGACCAAAAGGATGCTGTGTTGCAGAAATTCATGTTAGAGGAGAGATTAATTATTTGCTGAATCTAATTTCATTTTCACTCTGCCAAATGTTTATAATTTGATTTGTTATTTTTCCAATTTATGCAGAATGGAGCTTCTAAGGGCTATTGATGTGCGCCTTACTGCCGTTCAGCAAGACTTAACAGCGGCCTGTGCTCGTGCATCAGCTGCAGGCTTTAACCCTGATACTGTATCTGAACTCCAACAATTTGCAGATCAGTTTGGTGCTCATCGCTTGAAGTAAGAGCCTATGATAATCCATTTCTCAATTAGATCTTATGTCTCTATGTTATTTCTTGCCTGCCTCTCTCTGTCTTACTGCTTCCTATATCTGTGTTTTTCTTTTTCTTTTTCTTTTTTCTTTTTTTTCTTGTTTATGGATGTTTTATCTGTTGCTTTGGTCTTGTTTTGGGTGTGTACCTGAGGAACTTAGGCATGTATACATTGGATCAAACCTGCATTTTTAGTTTTAAGTCACTTGGTATTAAGTCTCACTCATAGTGAGGCAGATTGTAATATTTAGTACCACAAGGTGGTGAGTGTGACAAGAAAGGGGGATGGGAATGATGTTCTTTGTGAAAATCTTTCCCCATAATTTTAGGGACTGGAATTAATTAAGGGTTTGATGGAATGTTGTAATTTACAATGTTAGTTGACAGAGAATTAGTCAAAGGGGATTGTACTCATTGATGAGATGAAATGGGTAATATGCTCTTAACTCCTTTTACCTGTAGATTCTGACCTTGCAATTGAACAAGAGATCTATGGATGTACTGGCATATTCTCATGTAGTAATACTTATGCACCATGCAGTGAAGCTTGCACCACATTCATTTCATTATGCCAGAGACGTCCAGACCTGATCAGCTCATGGAAGCCAGGTATCGATGATCAAGTGGTCCGAGCCTCATGGGGATCTGATATGTCAATTGATGATCCCATTGAAGACCTAAGTGGATATCGTGATAATAGTAGGTCCTACCAATCACTGCAAAATAAACACCAAGAGCAACAACCACCAAACACAATGCATGCTCAGAACCACATCAACCAATCAAATCCTGCCACTTCTCAACAATCCAAAACCTCAATTGCTACCCAACAGCCTGTTCAGAACAAAAAGAAGGATGAAGAGAAGACAGAGGAGAGTGTGACTGAGCCACAACCAATTCAGACAAGTCAACCAACTAGGCGACTTAGTGTGCAGGATAGAATTAATCTCTTTGAGAACAAACAGAAGGAGAATTCAAACTCTGGAGGGAAACCAGCTATTGTAGGGAAGTCTGCAGAGCTGAGGAGACTCTCATCTGATGTTTCATCTGTACCTGTAGCTGTTGAAAAAGCTGTATTGAGAAGATGGAGTGGTGCTAGTGACATGAGCATTGACTTGGGTAATGAGAAGAAGGATAACAATACTGATAGCCCTTTGTGCACACCAACATCATCGTCTTTGTCTCAGGCTAGCAATAGTTTCCCAGGTTCGTCTGAGGAAAGGGAACAAAATGATCAAAACAGTTTGAGTGATAAGGTGAGTTTGGTTAAAGTTGATCCAAATAATGGTTCCAGTAAGGCTGGCAACTCTGGGTTGAAAGATCAAGGAGGACAAGCCCTGGTTGGTAGTCTCTTAGGTAAAGATGAGGATTTGGGCTTGAAGGGGCAGGTCAGTTGTAAGGACAACCTGGGTTCCCAAACCAATCAATTTAGGTCTTTCGTGGGTAGAAAAGTGCAGCAGGTTGGGTCCAATCAAGTGGTTGGAGGAGAGAGGAGTGGTGTGTTTAATGATCAAGGAACTTTTAAAGTGCAATCTGGCAACGATACTTCTCAGGCCCAAATTGGGGGTTTTGCGGGTAGATTAGGGGATACCACGCCTCAAGGTGAATTCAGGAATAGAGTTGAGACAATTGAGACTGCTGAATCAGAAGGTCATCCTGTGACACAAGCATATTTTAGGAGGGGGTCTCAGGGTCACAACTGCTCTCTGTCAGGGCAGAGTTTTGGATTAAAATCTAGGGAAGCTCAGCAGACAGGCACTGAAGCTGATCAATTGGCTCAACTGCAGTGGAAGTCTTTCAGAGGGGGAGTTGAAGAAGCTGGAAAGAAAGAGCTTGCTTCATTGGAGAAACAACCAAGCAAAGTTGAAGATGCTGGAGTCCAGAGAATGAAGGTCCAGAAACAAGTTTCTGTAGGTTCTGAACGGATTAAGAAGTCACAGGGCCAAAGGGAAGATGGTAGCTCTGTTTTTGCAAATAGCAAGCTGATTCTTCCTGGTAAAAACGGTACTGATAATGAAGAGAGTTTTAGTACAACAGTTTCAGTAGAGAAAGTTCAGAGAGTAAGGCAGTCAAGGGGGAATCAGGAACTGCATGATGAGCTGAAAATGAAGGCAAATGAACTAGAAAAGCTTTTTGCAGAACACAAGCTTCGGGTTCCCAGTGATCAGTTTGGTTCTACCAGGAGAGGGAAGCCTGCTGAAGTTCAGATTGATCAGGAAGCAAGTCAACCATACAGAAAACAACAAGCATTAGATACATCTTCTGCACAGTTGTCTGAAAAAAATGCAACTGAAACAACGGAGAATTTGGTGAAGTTTAGTACTCCACCAACCAAGATAGTAGATAACCAGGAATACAGTGATACTCTCAGGCAAAATTTCTCCCAGATTAGATTTTCAGATGATTCTAAAGGGAGGTTTTATGAGAAGTACATGCAAAAGAGGGATACAAAACTAAGGGAAGAATGGGGCTCTAAAAGGGCAGAGAAGGAAGCCAAGTTGAAGGCAATGCAGGATGCCCTCGAGAGAAGTAGAGCTGAGATGAAGGCTAAATTTTCTGGGTCTTCCAACAGAAAGGATTCAGTTTCTAGTGTGCATCAACGAGCTGAGAAATTAAAGTCATTCAATTTTCAGTCACAGATGGAGCAGGTATCTCATTTTGCAACACTGTTATTGGAAAATATAAGCTAAAACTGGTTGTCGGCGGTATTTATTTATTGTTTATAGTAACCTTTAGGAATTCCAAATGCTTTCTTGACTCAATTATTTCTGTAACTAATTTTGAGAAGGTTATCCATTTGACAGCATCCAATAAGTTCATTTCAGAGTGAAGAGGATGAAGATCTCTCCAAATTCCAAGATCAAAAGTACCATGGACAAACGAAGAAGCTTTTGCCTAATAAGAATATGTCTTCATCCACCCCTCGTACCACTACAGCATCAGTTCCACGCTCATCTGGTAAAGTTTCAAGTACTAGTTCTGGGAGGAGAAGACCACAATCTGATAATCCTCTTGCCCAGTCAGTTCCGAATTTCTCTGATCTAAGAAAGGAAAATACGAAGCCCTCTTCTACAACCACCAAGATGACTAGCCGTTCACAGGTTAGAAACTACATGCGCAGCAAGAGTTCCAATGAAGAGACAACCATAGGCAAAGAAGGGAAGCCTAGACGGTCTCATTCCTTGAGGAAAAGCTCTGCTGGTCCTGTAGAGTTTATGGACTCTGATGGTGTTGTTTTGGCTCCTTTGAAATTTGACAAAGGGCAGACTGAGGAGAGCTTCAGTGATAAGTTTTTGAAGAATGTGGATACAAAACCTTTTCTTAGAAAAGGTAATGGTATAGGTCCCAGTGCTGAAGGTGGTATCACACAGCTGAAAGCTTCAATGTCACCTGAGACCCAGAAAAATGGAGAGGAATTGGATGAGCTTGCCTTTGATGCTGAAGATTCAACAGATATTGCCAAAGATGATGAAGAGGAAGACCATGAAACCATGGCAGTGGAAGATTGTACTGACATGGACAATAGAAGATCAAGACAGAGTCAGGAATCTGACAAGTTGGATAATTCGGAATCTGAGAATGGTGATTCCTTGAGATCTCTTTCTCAGGTAGACCCTGCTTCTGTTGCTGAATTGCCTGCTGCAGTGTCTTCTACATTCCAGACTGCTGTGTCTCTACAGGACTCTCCTGGGGAGAGTCCTATATCATGGAATTCTCGCATGCATCATCCATTTTCTTATCCCCATGAGAATTCAGATGTTGATGCATCTTTGGACTCTCCCATTGGCAGCCCTGCATCTTGGAATTCTCATTCTCACCAAACAGAGGCTGATACTGCTCGAATGAGGAAGAAATGGGGAAATGCTCAGAAACCTTTTCTTGTAGCTAATGCAACCCATAACCAGTCACGTAAGGATGTGACGAAGGGGTTCAAGAGGTTGTTGAAGTTTGGAAGGAAAAGCCGTGGAACAGACAGTTTGGTTGACTGGATCTCTGCTACAACTTCTGAAGGTGATGATGATATGGAAGATGGGCGAGATTCTACCAATCGTTCATCAGAAGAGTTGAGGAAGTCAAGAATGGGATTTTTGCAAGGTCATCCTTCTGATGATGGCTTCAATGAAAGTGAGATGTTCAACGAACAGGGTAACTATTATCTTCTCTCATCTGTTAACTGGTTTCTTGTTTTCTAGAAATGGTCATAACTGGTACCTCCATCAAATATGTGCATAGAAGAGAAACCATCATATTTTTGTCTCTTTCTGTTACTGTATGGTCAAAAAGGGGACCTAACAACCTTTTGGGTGGCTGCAATTTCTTTTGTTAGCCAAGGCCCAAGAGTATGTTCCCTGTTATTCCTGAATTATATGCAGCAAGAAGATACCAAAAGAACATTGATTAGAAAGATTGTTCAACAAATAAGCCCATTTATTTTGTTGTCAATGCTTTTTTAATGACATGAAAACATAGATTTTGGCATGTAGTCTTTAAACCTTGTGATATTTATCATTTCTTGTATTTGTCCACTCCATATTTGATTTTTTTTCCTTTCAAATCTCCATTTTGCTTTCTGTCGAATATGTTGATGTCTGCTTCTGTAGTCTTGCAATATTGATTTCTATTGCATAAGTATCTAGCTGAACCATAAAGCTCTTGACGTCCCTTGCAGCTCAAGCTTTACATAGCTCGATCCCTGCACCACCAGCAAACTTCAAATTAAGGGAAGATCATTTGTCTGGAAGCTCTATGAAAGGTGATTCTTTAATAATGTTAATCTATTTCTGTTGCTTCTCTTTCTTTGCAGTAGTAATATATGGTTGGGCAAATGGTATCATTTCCTTGGGTTGTTACCCTGATCCTGGAGGACCTTTCCTCTAATGCAATATATTGTTGCTTGATAAGGACACACTTGAATCCTATCTATCCCAGTCTTTTGCTTGAATCCTTACAGTTATCTCTAGGTGTTAGGTGTTACCCTATTCAGGTTCTGTTTCAAACCTAAAGCTCAAATATGGAAATATAGAGATATTAATTCCCAATACCCACTCCTAGTATGATCTGGCATAACTTTACAACCATGTCTTATTAGGAGACTAATTAGGTCCAAATGGGAATTTTTGCCTTTTTAGCAGTTTAAGTGCTTTCATTCTTCTTGCAATTACGTACTTAAGTTGGAATATGAATTTTACAGCACCACGGTCATTCTTCTCTCTCTCAACATTTCGGAGCAAGGGTAGTGATTCCAAGCTTAGATAAATCACATCAAGTAAAGGCCAAAACAAGTGTTTGGAATCTTCTTAAACAGTAGGGCATAAAGGATAATATATATAAGACAAATGTTTGAGGTAGGCACAATACAGTGAATATAATGGGATTATGTAAATCTTCATGGATTCATGAGTTCTTTTGCCCATGATCTAGTCAGATATTTGTATTGTAAATTGTATTGAACAAGAAATCGCCTATTGGCAAAATGTCATTGTGATTTTATTAGTCTAGGGACATTCTTTTTCTTCTTTTCATTTTTCTCTAGCCTCTATGTCATGTATATCATAAGACTGAACTCTTATTCAGAATCAGAATGTATTGACAGTTTAAGAAGAGCGATGTGATTTTGCGGAGCAATAATAGCATGTAGAAAAAAACCACTTCCATGTTATACTTTTATCTGTAGTACTAAATACAATGCTGTGTCTATTTGTGGAGAATTGAAGTGTTCCTGGGAAATATCAGGTCTTTTATTGTGGGTTGGTGGCAAATAGGGACAGAATGGTGTTTTGCAGTTTGCCTTTTATGGACTGCAAACACCCCAACCCCATGGCCGGTTGGGCCAGCTCCTAGTCCTACGGGAGCACACCGCAACTTGGAGCTCATCTTTTGCAATCTGTGCAAGGCGAACTGCAGAAGAATTCTCTAATAAATAAACATGTTCGTAGGATGGTGGGAAACAGTCAAATACAAGCAGAATTTCAATGAAAAAAAAAAAAAAGGGATTAGGCAAATCTTTCAGCTGCATGTCCTCTCCAACTTCAACTCCCTGTTCTCTTCCCATTGTTGGTTCCTGCATGGCAGAACTAATAAGATTAAAATTAAAGGAAGAAAGAAAATGAGAGAAATTAAAGGAGATGAAATTAAACGAAGGAATGTATGAGGAAAAAAGAATGTGAGAAAATGGAAGAGAGGATGAGGGGAATGAATGAAAGAAAAGGGAAAGTGAAGAAAAAAGAAGATGAGAAAAAAAAAAAGAAATGAAAGAAAATGATGGAAGTAAAGAGAAATAAGGAGGGGGAGTAATTAAAAGGAAGAGAAAGATGAGAAAGATGAGTATGGAAGACGGAATGAAGGGAAAAGCAAAAAGAAGGAAGAAGGAAGAAGGAAATGGGTAAAATACAGTTCAAAGTACTTGCTTTTGTAGGGTTTAGACTATTTTGGTTAAGAATTTTGATCGGATTAGTTTTGGCGAACAATTCAAAATGTTTACTTGATTTGTGAAGCTGAAACATTAATTTCGGATAAGAATTTTGACCGAAATAATTTTGATGAAAAATTCAAGAAATTTCACTTAATTCTGAAAGCCAAAACAATAAAATTAAAGAAATAGGAGACAATTATTTTGGTCTATATGATTGATTGAAATAGTTTCGTAGAAAACCAAATAAAAAAAAAGAAGAAGGAAAAAAAGTGCTATACTAATACAATTTTTTTTAAAAAAGGAGGGTTATTTTGGTCGAGATGCTTGACCGAAATAATTTCATAGAAGATTAAAAAAATTAGGAAAGAAAGTGCCACACCAATACAATTTTTTTTTAGACAATTATTTCAATAAGAAATTTTGACTGAAAAACAAAAATGAACAAAAATTAATTAATTAATTCAGTCAAAATTTATGATCAAAATGCTTACTATTTTATTATTAATATAATTTGGATAAAATATTTGACCAAATTAATGATGGCACCAATTGATGCTCTTTTATTTTGGTCAATATTTTTTATCGAAATAATTTTAGACTAAATTACTATGTTAAATATCTTTTAATTAGACTAAAGTATATTTTGGTCAAAATACTTGACTGAATTAAGTTTTTTTTTTTTTTTTTTTATCAAAATGTTTTCTTGTTCAAAATATTTTGTCAAAATAAAGCTTTTTCTAGTAATGCTGGTTCTATTGTAGAAAAAGCAATAAGCTCAATAAGAATTGTGTTTTCCTTTGTTGTTGAGGACCATTTGGCTGCAAGATATGCTAAGATGTTGGCAAATTCAGTGTCTCTTGGGGCAAAAATAGGGTTTGCTAAAGGTGCACGAATGGGGGTTATTTATTTTCTGACATACTCAACATGGGTGTTGGCCTTTTGGTATGGTTTGCTCTTGGTTGCAAGAGGAGAGATCAGTGGAGGAGAAGCAATTGCTTGCTTCTTTGGTGTCAATGTAGGAGGAAGGTAATAAACTCTTTCTCTATCCATCGATCATTAGCAACCTTAAAGAGGTCTTTATGATTAAACCCAGAAATGAAAATGTTGTCTTGAATTTTTTCCTAGGGGTTTGGCATTGTCATTGATATACTTTGCTTAATTTGCCAAAGGCATGGTAGCAGTTGGATGGGTCTTTGAGATTATAGACAGAGTTCCTAATATAGATCCTTACAACGCTGAGTGGAGGACACTATCTAGTGTTCGAGGAAAGATTGAGTTCAAAGGTGTTACTTTTGCTTACCCTTCTCGTCTTGAGAGTACAATTCTTCGTTCTCTTAATCTGGTTATTCCTCCTTCAAAGACCCTTGCATTGGTTGGCACCAGTGGAGGTGGCAAGTCAACCATCTTTGCTCTTATAAAGAGGTTCTATGATCCTGTTAAGGGTAAGTGCGTTGTACATAAGATACTTGACATGCTAAAATAAGTATTAGTTCCTAATGTGTTTGAGTATATATGTCTCTTGAGAATTTTCAAGAAGTGTCAATTTAGATGGGCATGATTTAAAGACATTACAAGTGAAGTGGCTAAGGAGGTAGATTGGAATGGTTGGCCAGGAGCCAGTTCTCTTTGCCACCACCATATTGGAAAAGATCATGATGGGCAAGAAGAATGCTGCCGAGAAAGAAGCCATAGATGCATGTGTATAAGCCTGGGCACGGTTCGATTTTGGTTTAACCAAAATCAAATTTTCAACTATTCGTTTATTTTATTTTTTTCAATTTTACTATCCAAAACCAAACTGAATTCTCCATGGATTTTTTGGTTCAGTAAACAAAAAAATCAGTTTTAATATTTTGGTTATCAGTTATAACCAAATCAACATTGATGCCTATTT